CCGCCGGGGACGCGCCTGGTGCGGGCCGCCCGCCGGGGCCACGCCGCCGCCTTCCCGCAGAGCCCGCGTTCGCAAGCGTCCGGGGGAAACAGCCCCGGGGAGCTCCCTTGAGCGGGCGACAGTCACCCCTCTTGGAAGCCGTTGGGGGCGCTGGGAAAACTTCGTCCCCTTGCAGGTTGGGGTCACCCCAGCGCTTCTGACCCTCAGCCAGTGTCGCGGCGGGCACGCTAGCAGCAGCCCCAAGCAGAGCGGCGGCTCCCGTCGGGGAGCTCGAAGTAGCCCTGTGTGGGCCCCGGCGCCTTCGCCTCACCCGCTTCCGGCGCCGACGGGAGCGGCCCGGGCTCCGGTCCACCTGTGCCCAGCGCGCTGCCTCTCCGGGCCTGCCCTTCGCTCGGGCGATCGGTGCTCCTGCTCCCGAAGGGTGGCCCCGGGCTGAGGGTCCGGCCTGGCCGGGGTCTAGACCAGAGCTGACCTCGTCGCACAGAGCATTCTTTGGAAGCGGTGGATGCTTGCAGCAGCACGGGCTTCCCTGGGCTTCCAGAGTGTTAAAAGCAGCAGCTGGTGTCCCAGGCACAGTGCTGAACCGAATTAAACGTTGCGTTTATCCCGAGAGGCAGACCTTGCTGTTCTCTTTATACAGATGAGGAGACGAAGGTTCAGAGAGGTCAGGGACGGGGCCAGCTTCCGCGGCCTGAGCGGGACACCCAGGACACATTCAGTCCTCACCGTTCTGATTACTGGTGGTGTTGCTCTTTAATGCACTTTATTATTGGGTCGGGGAACAGGTGGGGAAGGGAGCAGAGTGTGTTTGTAGCTGTTTCCGCAGCCCCCAGGGATCTCTGAGCTGGGCGTCACTTTCGGGGAACAGACTTGGGCGGCTGACACGCTCTGGCTGGAATCTGCCCTGTTCCGGCCGCGTGGGGTCCGGTGATTATAGGAGTGCTTGGAGTCTCCTGTGGAAGCTGAGTTCTTTCCACTCTACTTGAATGGGAAAGTGGGATTCTTTAAGAGCTTTCTGGCGCTTTCCCTGTCTGTTCAGATTCTCAGCTGTAGGGGCCAGTGGGACGAGCCGGTGAGGTGGATGGGGTGACTGCATATTAGGTGTCATATATCAAAGCTAAAGCTACCTTGGACTTGCTCAAAACCATACACAGTGCCAAATGCTGTACCTGTGTTGTCTCATTTGATCCCGAGTCAAAAAGTTGGAGGCTCCTTTGGTGGCACCTGTGTGTAATCCCAGCATTCTGGGAGGCTGAGGCAGGAGGATCAGGAGTTCAAGCACAGCCCTGGCAACTTCGCCAGATCCAGACTCAAAATAAAAAATAAAGAAGGACTGGGGTTGTAAACTCAGTGCAAAGGCTCTGGGTTCAATCCCCAGTACCAGGAGAAAGTAAGTTGATACCCAGCAAGGTTGTACACCTAGGAATGGTGGATCTGTGCCCACAGAGTCAGTCCCCTGTGTGTGTACAAGAGGAGGTCATCCAAGTGCAGTTGCTTGCCTTCACTCAGTGCCGAAAGCCCAGTGGGCCCCTGATGCCTGTGGATCTTAGAGGGAAACGTGGTGCCTTTAGCTCCTTGTGCTGCAGCTGTCTGCAGTTCCCCTCAGCCCCAAGCACATCTGTTGGATTTCCAGAGCAGGCTTTAGTACTTTCACCTGTCCTTTTTTGCTTTTCTAGAAGGCCAGGCTTGGGGCACCCAGATCCCCAGCACTCGGGGGAGAAAGGCGTCCGTTTCTTTCCAGCTCTCAGCCTGCCATGCCGCTGGTGTACAGTCCCCGGGCAGGCTGGCCATGGCAGAGCAGCGCCACCAGGGATCAGGTCCCATCCTCCACGCTTGGTTCTGGGGAGGCAGGATCCAGAGGGCAGATCATCCCATAGCTGCTGGTCTCCATTTCCTGGCCTGTGAAGAACTTTGGTCTCTGATGACCCTTCCAGCCATTATAGGAAAAATGGCTTCTGTTTATTCATTCAGTTAATATTTATTAAACATTCACTACATGCCAACCACCCCCGTTACAGGTGTTAGGTACAGCAGTCAACAGAAGCGGTGCCCTGGAATTACCTTTTAGGTGAGCAAGGCCCCTCCCCCAACAGTAGTCATTATACATGTAAATGTATGTGCACGCATACCTATAAATATGCATACGTATGGCCATGGACAAAAATGGAGAGATGCAGTGTTTGTTTGTTTGAGGGGTGGGGGTGGGGAGGTGGTGTAGGGGCTACTGGTTATTCAGGGTGGTAAGGAAGGCACA